GCAACCAGCTGAGAGGCTGCGCGGCCCCACGAAGCTCCGCGTCTATGGAACCCTGGGGGCCGCTCCAGGAGCAACGGCCCCGTGACCACGGTGACCTGAGAAGGGGCTGCCCCACAGCAGGTGCGTGCTGCTCACTGACCAGAGGGAGGGACGGGCCTCTCCCCGCCTGCTGCCTGCCCCAGTGGCCAGCCCTGAGGGGCCACCCTGAGAAAAGTTCCTACGTGTTTTCTCCCAAAGGAAGTTCTAGAAGTGGCAAGTAAACACGCATAAGAGAGAGGTTAGGAGACGCGGACGGGCGATCGCAGTGGGGACTGCCAGGGTGAGGGACAGCAGAAGAGCGCGGCCGGCCAGGACCCGGCTCTGCCTCTCGAAGAAGCGAGGAGCCTGGGAAACAGCTCGCCATGTGCCCACGAGGCTCACGACAGCTCCCAACGTCAATGAGCACGCCCATGGCCCTGGGAAACGGAACACGTTTCCGGAACATTGGCCACTGAGCCAAGATCAACCCTCTCTCTCCTGCGGTGAGCTCTGCCTGAGGGCCCCGCGGGTACAGCCCCCCCATGCGGTGTGGCCAGAGGAGCCTGACCAGCCAGCGCACTGACCGCTGTCTGAAGGCACCGACCCCGGGGCCGCCTCCTGACGGGGGAAGCGCCCCCAAGGCAGGCAGGGAGCATGTCCGAGGGCGTGCGAGCGGCCACAGACCGAGGAGGACGAAGGACTGTTCCTGGACATGAACGCACGCGGCCCAGGGGCGGGCACTGCCCTCCGGGAGACACCTGAGGCGGCGCTGACCCCGCAGGGACTCGGGCAGTGCCCTCGGCACCGGGGCTCCTCCTCCATCCGCTCTCGGGGTCCCCCGGCGTCCTGCCCCCATGCCCATGAAGCAGCAGCTGCCGAGGAGGCAAGGACGAGGCCTGCGTGCGCCCTCCAGAAGGTCAGCAGAGGTGGAAGGAAGGCCCCTGGAGCCTCAAAGCTGCCTCTTGTCCGAATGACCGACTCTGAGTGTCCTGGGCAGCCACCCCCCAGCTCGAATTCAGGGCCCACGGAGCACCTGGCCTAACACGGGAGAGCGAGCTTTGCTCCTGTGGATGTGGCCACGCTCACTGATCACGTGGCGTCTCCGGAAGTGAGTCACGAAGAGTGATGAGGAGTGCCAGCCATGGCTCTGCCACCACCTTCTCATGGGCGAACGGGGTCTCTGGCGCGGCCACCTCCTATTGAGAAACTCCCGGTGCGGGACTCCCGGTGCGGGGCGCGGAGCCGTGACTCCGGTGCGGGACTCCCGGTGCGGGGCGCGGAGCCGTGACTCCGGTGCGGAGGGAAGGAGCGGCAGGTGAATGCTAAGAGGACTCCGTCCCGCTCAGTCTCCCTGGGCAGCAATGGCACCCCCTCCTCAGGGGAGCAAGAGCGCAGGTAACGAACGAGCAGGTGGACTGCTGTCCTCCCTCGGCCCCAAAGGACTTTCCCACGCGCCCTCCGTGGCGGGAGGGCAGAGCTGCTGCTGGGAAGTCGCCAGGAAGGTGCGGTCCTGTGGATGCGGGAGGAGCCGCCATGGTGTCTCTGGCGACTGTGCCCGGGACTCCCAGCAGCAGAGCTGAGATGAAAATCCGGCTGAAACGCCTGGTCTTCTCGATTAAAACAAAGTGAATTATGCAAACACCTGCATCCCAGGACTCCCGCCACGAAGGGGAAGCACGCACCCATTGCCCTGGCACAGAAGCCACACCCTGTTGAGGCAGGGCCAGGCGCTACGTGGGGTATTTGCCAGGAGTGGGCGTAACGGCTCCCACTCGGCACCCGACAAAGGAGCCTGCCAGCCCCCGCTGACAGGCAGAGCGGTGCCCTCGCGTCGCCAGCGGCCTGGACAGGCTCTGCTTCCGGGAGGGTTTCGGACCCACAGGCGACAGGTCTGTTCTGAATGAGCACGATCTCAGCAACGTGCTGATGGTGTCAGAAGAGAAGCCCAGCCCCCACCCTGTGCCAAGAGCCCAGGTCCCAGCAGACCCACAGGCGACTGTCCCTCAAACCCTGCAGGGCCCCCAGGAGGCGCTGGAGGAGCCGGCTGTGTGCAGTGGAGGCGGGAAGAGCAGGTGGCCGGACACCTGAGAGGCCGGGACACGCACGCCTCTCCCATCAGGTGTGGGTGAGATGAAAGGAGACCCTTCAGCTCCTCCCCAGGACCCAGAAGGCCAGAGGCTGGAGGCTCCCACGCGGGTGGGCGGCTGGGTGGAGGCAGGGTGGGTGATAAAGGTGGGTGAGTGGACGGGATGACATGGGAGGGAGGATGGAGGAGGAGGGTGAGTGGACAGGCAGGTGTGGGAGGGAGGAGGGAGGAGGAGGGTGAATGGATGGGCGGGTGTGGGAGGGAGGAGGGAGGGAGGAGGAGGGAAGTGGCCCGATGAGCCCACGACGATGGTGCGAGGGGCATGCAGCCTGCAGACAGGGCCTCACAACCTCTGTGGAGCATCTGGTTGAGGGAGTGACTTGCTCGGCCGGAAGGCAGGCATTTTATTCGGGGTCTGAGCACAGACACTGACGTTCAATAGAGACAAGGAAGCCGAGTCCCGGGCGCGAGCACAGGACGAGCCGCCTGGCTCCCACCCGGCGGAGGGAGGGGAGGGAGCGAGCCCACAGCCTG